GGCGACCGAAGAAAGGTTCGGGTCCTAGACAGACCAAATGAAATCCAGTCAAGGCGACCGAAGAAAGGTTCGGGTCCTAGGCAAGCGATTTCCCAGTCGAGGCAACCGAAGGTAGATTCGGGTCCGAGACAAATGAAATCCAGTCAAGGCGACCGAAGATAGGTTCGGGTCCTAGGCAAGCGATTTCCCCCAGTCAAGGCGACCGAAGAATGGTTCGGGTCCGAGACAAATGAAATCCAGTCAAGGCGACCGAAGATAGGTTCGGGTCCTAGGCAAGCGATTTCCCCCAGTCAAGGCGACCGAAGAATGGTTCGGGTCCGAGACAATTGAAATCCAGTCAAGGCGACCGAAGATAGGTTCGGGTCCTAGGCAAGCGATTTCCCCCAGTCAAGGCGACCGAAGAAAGGTTCGGGTCCGAGACAAATAAAATCCAGTCAAGGCGACCGAAGATAGGTTCGGGTCCTAGACAAACCATTTCTTCCGTCAAGGCGACCGAAGACAGGTTCGGGTCCTCGACACACAATATCAACTATCTGGAATTACTCTACCCTTCGGCAAGGTAAGTAGCCCCAGGTATGTTTTTATTTGCTTTAGCATGCATCATCTTATATCGCATCATAAAAATGGGACTCCGGTCTCGCCAAAAATAACATTCATTGAACATGCATGGGCCAAATTTAGGTGCCATTTTATCTTTGAACGTAACCTCTGCGAGCTCAATCTCTGCGAGCTCACCTTCAAAGAGGGGCAGCTGTTGACACCTATTTTTAATATCCCCAAAAATTAATTACACAAAATTTAGGAATTAATTTTCTTTAATTCCTAAAACAAAAAAATATTTCTATTTAAATGCATTGCATATAGACATTAGGCATATGTGCATTAATAGGGCCTATTAGAGCATATTTTCTTAAATTAAAAAAAAAAAAAAACGAAATCGATTCGGGCCGGGTCGGGGCTGGGCCGACCCGGCCCTTTTCTTCCTTTTTCTTTTTCCTCCTGCGCGGGCCCGGCCCGTTTCCTTTTTTTTTTCCTCCGCGCGGACTGGGCCTGGCCCGGCCCAGCTGCCCTCTTCCTTCTCCCCCGTCGCTCTCGCTGTCCTGTTCGTCTCTGCTCACCGACGGCGGCGTGACGCACGGCGGCGCCGCTCTCACCGCCGTGCCGGCGGGAGGAGGGCCGGATGAGCACGCCGACGGACCGGCATTAATGGCCGGTCCGTCCTCCCCATTTCCCTTCTCCCTTATCCCCTCCTCCTCTCGCCTCCCTGTTCCTCTCGGCCCCCCTCTCGCTTCGCTTCTCTGCACCGGCCGCTATGGCCGCGAAAGTCGCGGGACAGGTAGGCCGGTGCAGGCCATCGTCACGCCGACGCGGGGAGGCACAGGTTCGTCGTCGCCGGCTATAATAGCCAGAGAGAGAGAGAGAGGCCGGTCGGCCATTTTTTGGAAAAAATACAGAGAGAGCGTGAGAGCGTGAGCCGGGAGAGACAGGGAGCCTCCGGCAGCCACCGCGCCTCATCCACCCATCCCCGCCGCCGAGACGACGACGGCGACACAGAAACAGCAGTGGGTCGGCCAATTTTGAGAGAGAAAACGAGAGAGGAGAGAGAGAATAGAGAGGGAGAGAGAGTAAACCGAGGTCCGCCGGAGCTAAAGAAGAACCAGCAGCGGTCGTCGACGCCGCCAGACCTGCCGGAAGCCGCCCAGACGCGCCGTCGACCGGTGAGCCCCCCTCGGCCGCGAAGCTCCCCTGTTTTCCCCTGATTTTTGGCTCGGTTTGGCCGGGACCCGCACCGGCCATTTCGCGCGAATCCCGGCCCATACCGTCGTCGGTCCCGACTCCTAGTCGCCGTCGGAGGTGAACCCAAGCCGCTGGAGTCGACCGGATCGCCGGAGGAGGTCGGAATCCCCCGTTTTTCCACGCGCCCGCCAGGCGTTCGACGAAATGTCTCAACCACGCCGGTTTTTGTTTCATCGCCGGCCGGCGAACGGTGGTCCGACGGCGGCTCAAAGTTAGGGCACAGCCCCACGGCGGTCCTAGTCGGGCGACTTGGGGGCGGCGGTCTGGGTCACCTGGCGGACGGCCAATTTTGGCCTCGCCGCGCCCCCTCCCCACGGTCCGTTTGTTCGGGTCGGATTAGACCCGAATCAGCAGATCCGACCCGGTCAACGCCCGGTCTGGATCCGTTGACTCGGGTCGGTTCCGACCGACCCGGATTCAGCCCGACCCGGTCAACGCCCGGTCGAATCCGTTGACTCGGGTCGGTTCCGGCCGACCCGGATTGACCGATCCTCCCGGGTCAACGCCCGGGTCGGATCCGTTGACCCGGGTCGGTTCCGACCGACCCGGATTGACCGATCCGACCCGGGTCGGATCCGTTGACCCGGGTCGGTTCCGACCGACCCGGATTGACCGATCCGACCCGGGTCAACGCCCGGGTCGGATCCGTTGACCCGGGTCGGACCCGACCCGACCCGGTTATTATTATATTATATTATATTATTTTTTTTCCCGAAAAAAAAAAACTTTTTTTTCCGTATTTATTTATTATTTATTATTTATTTTTATTTTTTTAAAATTTTTTTTTCTTTTAATTTGTGTGATATATTCTAAATGCTTAATTTATTGTAGTATTATTATGCATATTTTTATCTTGTTTAAATTAGACAAACCTGAGATTGCGCGATAATATTTTGCATGTTATGTTTATTATCGCTGTATTGTTATGCATGTTTTTAATACAATTGCATGAGCGTTGTGTTTTTGAATGTCATCTGACTTAGTTAAGGTTAGAACCTTAGGCTGCATGAATTGTTGTGTTCTTGACTGCTGATCGTTTCTGATTATGCACTCGTTTGATCACCTCACATGTTAGGAGAAAGGTCCTAAAATCAATCCAAATTGCCTGACAAATATTTTCATAAATGAACAGGGTAAAAAGGTACCGAAAGGGCATTAGTTATCCAACTAGTGTAACCAAGTCCCCGAATTCAGTTAATCTCTGGTTCGCAGGAATAGGGTGATTCTCCCATCACCCTATTTGGGTTTCTAATCGACCCACCCCAAATCGATTAGTGGCGACTCCTTGGTATAAACCACATGCATGTTAAATACTTAAACCCTAAGTCGCGATATGGTATGGGCTTGGGAGGGCCCGAGTTAAGTCCCGAACCTAGACTTAGCATGTACCAGGCGAGCCCCTCTTTTTTGCATGTTGTTTAAAAAAAGGGCTCAGGAGTTCGGTCGCGACAATTTTTTTTATAAATGTATGCTTACTTGTCGGCGAAATTCAAGTGTCAACAGACATGTCTTACTTCCCTTAAATAAGTTCAAGCCGAAAGCAGTCCCACATCTGCAGAATGGTTCTCGAATAATCCTTTGGAACCAAGCACATCCAAGAAGAGAAAAATGTCCTTGCTAACAGTCTCTCCAAACCCAAAGATGGGCTCGATTGTACATGTACGTTTCTGGAAATGTAACTGGTAGGTTTGCTCCATCCGATACAGGTACTTACCCTCCATAAGTTTCTAAACTTGTTGCAGTGGGAAGATTCTTTAAAGGAACCACAAAACAAATACAGGCACATCGACCAAAAATTTTCAGCCGATATTGCGGGTTTGCTCTCAAACCCAGTGGGAAGTACGCAGAATTCCCATTTATCCTTGTGAAGGCATGGTTGAACCGTTGTTGACATTGTAGCGTAGTGTGCCAAGTAGTCACCATTACAAATCTCATAAATAAGATGAGGTCTAGACCTGAGAATGCCTTCTTGGGTGAGCGGGGAACATAAGGCCTCAAACCACAACAGGGCCAACTAGAGGAGGTGGAGCAATCGGTATATGATCTCTATGATGACTGCGAATTGAACCGATTATAGGAGGATTGCAAGCCTGATTGATCACATGAACATGTCCACCATGCCCTTGACCAGATTTTTGGCGCCCAGAATTACATCCACCCAAAATCCCCAAAATGGGGGAGTGTGTGAAGTGGCATGGCCAATCAAAGCATGATGAACATCGGATGAAGATGAGGCATTCGATTTTCGAAGAAATTGTTCTTCTTGGATGAGGAGTTGTGATCGAATGATCTTCAAAGGAAAGAATTGTAGGGCCGTTGGTGACCATGATGACAAAAGGATCGTACTCAGACAAGAGATAAGGCTTGAATCACCAAGTTTTTGTGGGAGATGGGGCAATTGTTCGTAGTGAAAGAGTCCACCAAATGACTTCAAATGCCGAAGATAGTCAAATAAGGATTGGTAGGGTTTCTTGATGGCATTCTAAAAGTTCAAGTTTTACACCAATTTCCTTGGCCACGTAGCAAGTAGTAAAGCGTCATCCAAGAGTAAGCCGAATCTCCTGAGATGTTCACAGTTCATGAACTTCTCGACCATGAGGGTTGAATTGATCAAACTACAAAGGTACCGATCTGTCTTGACTTTCCGTGAGCATGGAGAAAACCCATCTTCGTAGCCTAGCAGATCGTTACAAATTAAAATAGTTTCAAAGTAAAATTTCCATGGTATATAATTGTCTGCTTTGAGCTTTATGAAGATGAGACTTGTGATGTTGGGAAACCATGAGACGGTGAGGTTGAGTGCATGGCTGTAATATTAGCAAAATGAATCGGAGCAGCAGGAAGAGAGAAGAAGAGGTGGAAATAGGCACAATGTTTGGGAGAGGTGACAATAAATTGGGATTTAAGGAAATAGAAGACGATGGTTAAAGAGATTATAGAGAAGAACAAAAAGCCGAAGATGCACAAGACATTGTTCAAATAGAAATAGAAGCAAAGGAAGTGTTGATTTGAGTAGAGATGTTCACGAATTTGGTAAGTTCTACTCTGGTACCATATTGAACTTTAGAGATAGAGAGAGAATAACAACATAGTGTTTACGGAGACAGGACCCTAATTAAGGTTGCATGGTGTGTATTCATAAGAGCGACTAATTATAGTCAAGGAACAAACAGAAACATAATTAGAAAAAACTCCATAATACATATCAATTACAAAATGATGCATACGTGCACTACCATAGTATATGGCCAAAGAAGCCTTATTGCAATCGATCCTAATTTACCAACCCACATGGAGTGGCAATTGATAATTGATCATGAGGGGTAAACCTCAATGAGGGATCGCAACCCTACTATTGGGGTGATTTTGTAATCCCCGAAACCAGCATCGACAAAGAGCCTAGCCCATTCTGTCTCATTCCTCTCTCTTCCTGAGACAATGGTCATCATCAACATGTCGAAGAAGAGTTGGGTTTCGTTCATCTCCTTGTCACCTTTTCTGTTCTCCATCACCATGTCAATTATTATCACCTTCTTCTTCTTGCCCTTGCCCTTGCTTATGGCCTCCTTGCATCGCTTTAGTATCTTCACACCATCTTCATCACTCCAGTCATGGAGTATCCACTGCAAGTCTCTATCACAAATGTTCTATTAGTCTCTCAATATGTAGATACAATGAGTCGATATGTTGTATGCTATAGATTCTCTTTGCAAAAGTTGAATGCTAGTATTGCAATCGATGTAGTATCTTCCTCATTATAAAGATTGCGTATTGTAATGGTTTAGTATCCTCCTCAATAACCAGCCTTAAGTACATGAATTTTTAGACGAAATGATTTAGTATCTTCTCATTATAATGAAGCACCTCAGCAAGGTAAAAATATATATCGAATTGTTTGTTTTCCTTTTTCTCCAAACAAAACCTTATCAAAGAGTGAAGTTTATGTGCAAAGATAACTAAGATGAAAGTCACCCACTTGCCTTCAATAGTATTGCATCCCCGGGGGGTATCGCCTCAAACATGTCCCCGGCAACACATTTCACGTTCTTACTCAGTTCCAGATTGGCTACCACATGTGGAAGATCAAAATTTGTGCATTCAATATGCGGAAAGGTGTTCGCTATGGCATTGGCCATTGTTCCGGTCCCCCCTCCTACATCGACCAACGATGTTATTCCTTCGAACACCCCTCTGCACTGGTTAACCACCACGCTACCCACCAGTCGAGCATCGCTAGCCATGCCCTCATTGAAAAAGCGGTTGAGCCTCGGCTCATTATCTGCATATCTCCAAAGCGACATCCCTTGCATCATTTCGAACGGGGTTGGGTCGACATGGTTGTGGAACCACGCGCCCAAGCCGTGCCAAGGGTTCATCAAAATAGGGTCGAGCATGGCCAGTGTGAACGGTGCAACACTCAAGGGATTGTCCTTAAGGAGGAGCTCGGACACGCGGTTGAGTACGTAGGCGTCTCCACCGTCCGGTGTGAGCTTCTTCTGTTCGAAAAATCCAGAGTGGACGAGAATGCGCATGAGCCGCTCGACACCGTGATCTCTTGAGGGGTGAATTTGAAGTGCAGAGACTAGGGCGTTGAGGGTCATGGGTTGGCCATGGTGGTGGATGGTGTCAGGAATGCCTAATTGAATGGCACATTTCAAGCACATGGAATTGATGAAGTTGAATATGTGGTTCCATATGTGAGCTTGAGCCTGTAAGTGCTCGCTTCCCTTCTCTCCATTCACCATATCCATGGTACGAAGTTATTATCTCTCACCACTATAGTGCAACTTCTCGTTCATATGAACTCCGAGAACATAGGAATGGTGCGTATTTATTATGGTTTGGAAAGTGGGTATGAAGCATCATAATTGGTATACTTTCCGTCAGCCAAATAATTGTCATGTTCACATGATTCACGTTGATATAGGAGGCCCCAGAACCTTATAATAGTTCACGAGCATTGGATTTTCCCCCATTCTTATACCTTATCTAATTACCCGAAATTTGAAAGTTCGATTATAGAAACTTTGGCTTAGTTCAGACCGGTTAGCTCTTTTGAGGCTCTCTAGAATCCAACGGGATCGCATGCCCCAAACTCATGAAGATAAATAGAGAATATATCAACTGCGCCGATGTGGCTTAGCCTAGTTTTGATAGAAGGCGTTAGGGCAATGATCCGAGGTCACGAGTTCGAAGTACAACGGAGATCATGCTGCATAATTCTGTGATAAGAATGAATCTTAGTAATCTCTTTTTTGGCGCTCAGATAAAAATAGAAATATGGCATGTGCAGACATCATCATCCTCACAATAAGTGGATTTCTCTTTCCAACTTTGGACGATATTGACCGTTGTCTCTGTCAGAATCAACTCCTGGATTGGTTAATCATGCGATTGGCGCTCTTCCTTTGTTTTACTCTTAAAGGCGCTATGACTGTGACGATCTTGATCGTTAAAGCTTTGAAAAGATTGTCCAGCGCATCCAACATGTTTCTCGTGTTTCCTTTTTAAGAAAAATTTTCATCCAGAGGCTTAGTTAAATTGATTAGAATTTTCATTAACTTCATGAATCGAGTAAGATGCGAGCTAATGTTAGGCCGGCAGTCCAAACATATCGGTCAAAGGATGATACATCAACATGTTGGATATCAACAGCTGAGATGTGTCGTTTTGTTTTCCTTCCTTTTTTTCTGTGTTTTATTTTTCCTTTCTCACTTCGTCTTCCTCCTTCCTCAACCGGCAGCCCCCCTTCCTTCATCCATCATCAGGTACAGTTCTCCTAATTTGAATCAGAGCACTCGAGCAATCATTCTAACAATTCAATTGGTTTATAATTTATGACATTGTAACAAAAATTAAATTTCCAGGGTTCCTCAATCGAAGTTTGCCTCCCTTCATCCAGCAACGAGGATCTTCAGTAGACAGATGCCTCCAATTTCTTCTGCTAGAAATTTGAGTTGATATTGTCCCACTCACATGCATTGATAGTTGTTAGTCATGAGTATTGCGACTCGTATAAAGGGTGACTCCACTCACTTTGTTGAAGCTTTTATTCTAGAAATTGTCTTTGATCTTAATTTTTCCAGGATAAATTATGTAAACCCCATTATTTGGTTGAGTTCTAATGAATGATAAACTATTATCTAGAAGGATACATGATTTCGTGCATCAATTAGTCCACAACCAATCGCAATCTCATGCACTTGTAGTTAATTATCGATTCGATAGATCTATACAACCTAATCCTAACCAATAATTAACGGATATTCGTTTATGGTAATTATGTTTCAACCTAAATTGCCTCCCTTTGCTTGACACTATTAATAAGCATGATCTGGAATGGATCATTGAGTATATACACACATTGGAGAATAGAACGTGTATGGTAACGTAGTAGTTGGCCTGTGCCAGCAAGCTTTATTTTCCAATTTGTTATATTTCTTTTTAAAGCAGATTTGTTAGATCGTTCCATTTTACACTATTTTTAATTATTTTACTTTCACGAGTTGTATATATGAAAAGAAGCTATCAGAAATAGTTTAGATTGATTTGTACCTTTTGCATTTTTGTTTAATATAAATTTTGTGGCTCATGCACTCCGAATCGAGCAAAAGAGCACGTTTTGGTTTAATATGAAAAAGCTATATCAGAAATAGTTTGGATTTTTTTTTGGTCAAAATTTGGATTGATTTGTACTTTTTTTCTTTTTTGTTTAATATAAATTTTGTGGCTCATGCACTCCGAATCAAGCAAAAGAGCGCGTTTTGCTTTTGTGTAAATGCAAACAAACATGTCCGTTTCTAGAATTGGATTGCCCATTACTTATAGTAAGCCAATAAAAATTAAGCTATAAGTTTTTGGTTTTTAATTTTTTTTAAATAAAGAGTAATCCAATGTAATTTCCACCATTACTAGCTTGTTCAGTTTTTCTTTCACTAAGTTACATCCACAATACTTAAGCTAACTCAGTTTAATTCAGATATGTTATGATATTTTTGTGTGATATAAGGATATATATTTATATCTATATATATAGAAATAATCAATTCTACTAAATAAAATAATGGTCTTATTAAAATGCAGAGAATTATTTATGAATAAGTTATAATATTAAGAACTCATATTTTGTCTACTTTAGTCTATTCATCATACAATTGGCAGATTAATTGGAAAGTAAGGTTCTTCCTTCAAAAGAAAATCATGAAACGGAAAACAGAAAATTTAACACCAATGGATTTTTTGCCAAGTCTTCTTTGTGTCCTATTGCTGGTGCCATGGCCCGCCAAAAGTTGATACGATTATTGTGTTTAGGGTTCTTTAATTGTTTTCCCGACAAACTATACTCGTGCAATCGTCGGTGAGATCCACCACTTACCTTCTTAAAATAAATTCATAGAGAGAAAATCGATTTAATATTCGTGAGAGTTAGGACACGTGTTTACTAAAAAATGCAAGAAACGGGAAATGAGGACATAACGAAACATGGGTAAACAGTTCTCATTTCTAGGAAATTATTCGTGCACTACGTCGGACAAATAATTAGGTCGGGCCGTACTTGTTCATCCTGAAACACACGTTGATAAGAGGCCTTAGCACTAATTTTTGGTGAAGTGGAGACTTTCTTTTGCCTTATTCAGGTTGGGAGTTCCCCATGTCAAACCGTACCCGCTCCTCGGCCTCGGGAAGTCTTGACTCGCTTCCAACGTAAGTTTGACCATACCATAATGTAGTATTACTCTGAGTAAAGTCTCATGAGCATCATGGTAGAGCGGCAGTACCTGGCTAGATTAGATGAACAATAGTTATTGATCGAACCGAATATTCTGTGGCAGTTGTGGAATTCCCATGATGATTTCTCGGGTGTCGCCTGATTTTGGTTTGCTACTTTCCATTTTTTTCTCTTTTTGCCATATGTGGAACTACGAAGAGGATTGCATGTTCATCTCGATCTAAAAGGAGTTACTAACTCATTGTGTACATCTTAAAATAAGTGATACTTGAACTAGATCATATGTTTATGACATTATAAGACTCATAGTTCAAACTTGAATGTTCACATGTACGTATTTGAACATTCCTGATCTTACTATATTCCAGTCTGACAAAATATCTAGAATGAACGACCCTTCTTTGTCATCCATTTTCGCTTGATGGATAGAGAACTTCTAAACCTAGGAGGCTACATTTGAGATTTACCCCTCTAAAATAATGGAGAAAGTATTTCGTACGACGGATACACCAGATGACGGTGTTGGAAATTGTGTAACCGTCCAATTGCATGAATTCTATCCTAGTTGGTACTATACGCGAACACTTCTCACTTTTGATTGATAGGCTTCATCACGTATTATTGTCATGTGGTGTATTCGTCATATGAAATATATTCTCCTGAATGATGAGTATGTCCACTCAAGCATGTTAGGGGCTAAGCATAATTCACCAGTAGACAATATTTGTGGGTATTAACCATCAAAATATGTTAATGCAACGACACATCTTCATAAGGATTAAAAAGATGACTTGTTTTGCAATAAATAGTAAAAGATACTTAGCCAAATTTCAACATATATGTCCCTTCGTGATCTTTTAAGTTGGACAATAACTCTTGATACAGTACACATGATATAATCCTTTCCTTACATCTTTCGGTGGAGCCATAGACGCATCATTCTATAGATATTGACATTACCGAAGTAGCAATTATGTAATAGTAAATGCAATCTTTCCATAGCTACGAAATTAAGTTACTGCTCAAATCGGAAATATCACTCACCCGTTCTCCTCAAATTCACAACCATATGTATCATCATCGCGAGATTTTGTTCTTAAAATAACCGGAAGCCTGTTACTAAGAATTCCTGATAAGATGTATTTCCTTAAACTTCAGACGGGCAAGTCTTATGGATGTATTGGACAACTTGTATTCCACGATTGGGGCTTAAACATGATTTTGGAAAGCCCTAAATTCGTCCTTGAGCATGGTTAATGCTGTAATTGGTGACACGGCGGAAGCGGATTGTGTTTGCAATTAAGTCGGGAGCTATAGAAATTGACAGAGAATAAAACGAGGAACAATAAAAGGACATGAGAAATTTTATATGGTTCGGTCCGAATATCGGAACCTACGTCTCCGGGGAGAGCCAGAAAATAATTCACTAATAAATTGAAAAATTACAGAATTTACAATCACACATATTTGAGTGTTTCCCAACCCTATTATATACCCAATATTCATTGTGTTTAATAACTCAACTCAATGGACTTGTCTCCGCACAAATCTCTTCAAGCTCACGCCCCTCTTCATCTCGAGCTCTCTCTTCTCTCGGTTGTCTGTGTCTTCAGTTGTTCTCTCCGCTTATAGGAGAAAGGATGGCTGTCTTCGTCTTCAGATGTTCTCTCTGCTTATAGGAGAAAGGATGGGAAAACAAGATAAATGGCACCCATCTTCAGAAGCCAAGCGCCTCCATGCAATCAATGATGGCGTGACCATATGCACCGACATAAGAAAATAAGCATAACTTCTGCCTTCCCTCTTTCTTCCATCAATTACAAAGGACAAACTAAGCCCACAAATGATGACAAAAGAGAGACGTTCGGCGCCCACAAGACAAGTCTCTGAAGAAGCAAGGGCGCCCACCGATTTCCATGGGCAACGCATGCACTTTACGAGGAAAAAAAAATGGACATGGAGATATGCACATAAAACCATGGGCAAAAGATTTGTCCATCTTCATTTAATGGTCCACGATTTGCGATGTTGTCATTGAATGCTTTGCGAATGTGCTTCAACCTTTCAGAGTATTAATAAATGTTGAGCGTACGAATCGGGTATAGTATACGGG